CACCACCCAGCCCCGCCCGCTGCCTCCTCCACCAACTTCTGTGCCTCCATGTCCCAATGCCACCGCTTCACCCCCACCCACGCCCCGTACTATTTAGTATTTAGTTTTATGTATGAATAATCTAGTATAAAGTCGGGCTAGTCCGCCCTTATGTTATCTATTACTCCCTCCGTTCCTTTAAACACTTCCACTTTTGACTTTTGGCAAAAATAAGGAAAGTGTAATTTGGGTTGACTTTCCAATTTTGCCCCTGATGTGATGGGTAAAAGTAAGATGTGATAGTTTGTTTATTAGGGAAAAAGTATGATGTGATAGGTAGGGTATGAAAAAGTAAGAGTAAAAGTGGTTTTTTAATAGAAAGTGAAAGTGTTTTAAGGAATTCAAAAAAAACGAAAGGGGAAGGGTTTAGTGGAACGGAGGGAGTAATATATTTAAGTGTCTGTAATGTTTTTTCTTTTTTAATGCAAGTGATTGGATGTTAAGTGATTGGATGTTATATATGGTGCTAATGTTATTAATGAATTATTTATGGTACTTTTGTTCTTTTTTCAAGTATTTAATATTGACATGCTGGGTGCGTATAGTTGGCTATAAAATACCCTGATAATAATGATGATAATAATGATAATAATAATAATAATAATAATAATAATAATAATAATAATAAAAATAAAAGGATTCTGCAACGGATGCATGGCTGCTGATTTTACCCCTATACGTGGACTAAATAAATGACAATAAGAACTTATTCTTCGAATATACTCCATACTTAAATACGGAGTACGTACTTGGAGCCCAAACACCAAAGTTTTAATTAAGAGTCCGTACGTACGATTTTCTTTTTATCCCGAAATTTTATCCATCAAAATTAAGCTCTACTTTTAATATAAATAAATAAACCCAATATATAATACTTCCTCCGTCCCGTAAAACATGGGACATTTGCTTTTTAGAAATGAGAAGTGTTTTGTGGGACAAATAAAAAAAGAAAGGGGAAATGTTTCACGGTTTGGTACATGGAATTCAAAAGTATAGAATTAGGGCCCGTTTGGTACATGGAATTCAAAGTATAGAATTAGAATTGAGGACTTCAATTTTAATTCTGGTGTTTGGTAGCACAAAAATTATGTGGATTTGGAATTGATAAAGCAAAAAATGAATTGAAATTGACAGAATTTAATTCTATGGAATTAAATCCCATGGAATTTCAATTCCTATTCAATTCCAATTCCACCAATTCCTTATACCAAACGGACCCTTATTTTAAATGATTATTTTCAAATGATTTTTTTAAAATGGTTATTGCTTTCTATATGCACCAGCTTCTTTTGGACATGAATGTGAAGATTCATCCATGCAAGGTTCAAAATTGCGTATTTGAGGCATTTTAATTAATGTTGTGGCGTATTGACAAATCCAAAAACATTTTTTTAAAAATTGGGAAAGTAAAACATCCCAACAACAACAAAGTTTGACATGAAACAGAACAAAATACTAGCCGAAGATGATGAACTTTCTAAATTGACGAATGCAAAAAAAAAAAAGGTTCATCGGTGTCTAAAGGCTTAAAGTTAGGATCAAAACATGTATTTCAGTTCCTCATAGTTATTAAAAAATCATCTTTTAGGGGATCCGGAAAAAAGAGTATTTACTAAATTTATTATGACTTGGCAAAAATAAAATGCACGACGTTAAATAAATATAAGTTGATCAGGGGATGAGTTGGGGTCGAGATTGACTGGATGGGAATAAATGGAAAGTTAATGAGGCAAAACTATCAATTTTGTGAACAAAACATTGTCCCAATTGAGGGAATGTTTTCCGTGGCCACTATTTTGAGTGGTTTTAGAACACAGTCGAACAACAAATGGAACAATAAAAAGAAGGCCCAATGAATGGAAATGATAGAGCAGAGTAAGGCTTATTAGATCATTTCAATTTAAATTTTTTTTTTTAAAAAATTGGACTACTTATTCATAGACCTGGCAAAAAAATGACCCGACCTGTTTGTGACCCGAAACCCGACCTGAAAACACTGGATTTTGAACAAAAGTTCCGGTGACCGAACCCGAAGTTGACCGAACCTGAAATGACCTGCTAAAATTGGGTCAAACCCGACCAAACCCGAACCCGACCTGACCGACCCGCTAAAGTAAGAATTTTTCAAAATTATACACTTTACTACTCATTTTTAGCGTATAAATTTATATTTTGAGACAAAATTTTAATGATATTGCATAATTATCTTACTTTTTTCCAAAATTTAAGCATTTTTAAATTCTTTATATTGATTTATATGTCTAAAAATTACTTCAGAGTTTAAAATAAAATAATTTAATAGATTTAATACATTTTTTTATATTTCAAATTTATTTAATAGAAAATGTAAGTGTTATTGTAAATTTAAAAATTGAAAAAACCAAAGTCATAACCCGTTGGGTCGACCCGACCCCGATGACACTGGGTCATGAACATATAGTTCTCAACCCGAACCCGAATGGACCCGAACCCGAAATAACCCGACCTGACCGACCGATTTGCCAGCTCTACTTATTCAATCCCTCCCACTCCCCTACTTTAATTTTTTTGGGGGGAGAGCAATTGTGTACGCCTATACCTGCACAATACTCCCTCCGTCCCGCTATATTCGTCCACTTTTAACTTTTGGAACTGTTCATCTAAGCACTTTGACTCATCAAATTCTCTCAATGTGTAAGCCTAAATATAGTCATGCGTGATCTTGTTTGATTTGTCTTAACATATAGATTATTAATATATAATTTCTATAATTTTTTAATATACAAATTACAAGATAAAATGGATTAAAGAAGTGCATTGGATGGTGTGCAAAAAAGAAACTGGACAAATATAGTGGGACGGAGGAAGTATCTACCAAAACTTAATTGCTAAATCGCGTAAGGCCATATGGGGGGTTATCCAGCGCATTATATATTGACACTTGGCTCATTACTTCTACAGAGTATTTGTCCATTATGAATTTGTATTTTTGTTCGAATCATTTTTATGGTCAAATATTTATTATTTGTACAGTAGTTTTTTAGTTATGTAAATATTCGTCGGATACGGATTAGAATATTATAAAACTTAATTGGATTCGTATCCCTGCTAGATATTCTCTGCTTACAGCCCTAATCATTCCTATATTTTCTTTGATATGATATGATTTCACATTATATAAGAAAACAACTTATAAGAGGTTTAAGGACCCTTTGTTATAGGCCTGGCAAAAAGTGACCCGACTTATTTTTGACCCGAAACCCGACCTGAAAACACTTGGTTTTGAACAAAGGTTTTGAATGATGACCGAACCCGAAGTTGACCGAACCCCAAATGACCCGCTAAAAATGGGTCAAACCCGACCGAACCAGAACCCGACCTGACCGACCCGCTAAAGTAAGAAGTTTTCAAAATTATACACTTGTTTACTCGGTTTTAGTGTATAAATTTATATTTTCAGACAAAATTTTACTGATATTGCATAATTATCTTACTTTTTTCCAAAATTTAAGCATTTTAAAATTTCTTATATTGATTTATATATCAAAAAACTACTTTATAGTTTAAAATAAAATAATTTTATAGATTTAATAGTTTTTTTATATTTTCAATTTATTTAATACTGCCTCCGTCCCAAAAAGATTTACACGTTTCAAAAAAAAATAACGTCCCACAATTTCTTACACATTTCTATTAAAAACCACTTTTACCCTTTACTTTTTCAAAACCTACCTATCACATCATACCTTTTTTCTAATAATCTACACATCACATCCTACTTTCACCCATCACATCAAGGGTATTTTTGGAAAGTCAACACAAAATTATCCCTCCATTAATTTCAACTTTAGTCAAAATGTGTAACACTTTATGGGACGGAGGGAGTAGAAAATGTAAGTGTTAATGTGAATTTAAAAATTTAAAAAACCAAAGTCTTAACTCGTTGGGTCGACCCGAACCCGATGACACTGGGTCATGAACATAGAGTTTTCAACCCGAACCCGCATTGACCCAAACTCGAAATAACACGAACTTGAAGTGACCGAACCCGAACCCGACCTGACCGACCGATTTTTTAGCTCTACTTTGTTACGTAAGTTTTCATAGGGGTAAGTAAATCGGGAAAATAAAAGGAAAGAAACACTACCACAAGGAAATAGAGATCTTCACAATGAGCACCGGGACAAACTTTTCTCACACATTACGCATAGAGATCTTGACAATGATCAAATGGAAAGTTATTTTTAGGACGTAGAGAGTAACACTTTAATATATAGTCAAACAATACTACTGAATGTGCAATTTAAGCATAGCATAAATGGCATTAATTAATTGCATGCCATATATTTATACTAGGGGTGGGCACGGTTCGGTTATCCGGATTTTAGATTGCCCCACATCTTGTCCCGTTATATATAAACGGTCCGAAACGGTTCAGATTACAATCTAATCTCAGTTTGTCCCATAAAATTCAGGATCGGAACAAAATGAGACGGATTCGGGTCATTTTACTTTATCCTAATCGCAAATACAAGAAGGGGAAGAGGGTGACATTTCATTTAAAAAAAAGAAATATCTAGCCATCTAACGGGACGAAACGGGACGGATCGGTATATATTTAAGCTGTCCCGCTCATGTCCCATTTGATATTGGGACGAAACGGGTTCGGGACAAAAAAATTATGTCCCAATATATCGATACAATTACAAAACGGATCCGGGATTTTTCGGGACGGTTCAACAGAAATGAATTTCACGCCCACCTCTAATTTATACATTCATCACCACCTCCTCCAATATAATAATTAACTATTAAGACAGCTCTCTTTATACCCGCACGGGTAGCCCAAGTGGCAAGCACTTGGTGAAATTTGGAGAATGACCAAGGATCGAAACCTGGCAGCGACCGTTGTGGAGGCGACCACCTCTGAAAAATGGGGGGAGTCTCTGGTGCGCACTATAATATGATCTAGCTAAGTGTTGTTGTTTGGGTCACCGTGATTTACCTCCTCTCACATTCTCGTCGGGTCGAGGGTGAGGGGCGCCCGGGGTGAGCGATTTCACCTTTTGGAGAATTAAGACAGCTCTCTTTATATATACATGCAGTATTTATTTTATTTAATGCCAAATCTAATTGGGCAATCAATACCAACACTGTCATCAAGCTAATTAAGGATCATATGTATGTATTCATTCATTAATGCAGAATATGAATGTAATTAACATCATCACTACTGTTAATCCTTAACTATATATGGACTAATAAGCTAATAACCGTGGCAAATTCAATTTCAACATGAACCAGCTAGAGTTTGTGCAATAATAATATACATAATTGAACTA